AACCCACCCGATTCAACTTGTTTACTAGGTAATGTAGATATTCAAGCATTTGAGAAAGTGGATATTAAAAAACAATGTACCTCCTACTTGTCTGTCTCTTCTCTCATACCCTATAGGATACAACTTCAGAAGCAAAAAATGAAGCAGCTGACAGATGCTTGGGAAATGATTATATGGATGCCGGCAAATTGGACAGTGAGATTCATTCCAAAAATTCATAGCGTTATAGATGCACCAGAAGCATGATATGTGGCCACAAGCTGCAAATAGTGATAGTCAAAGCTCCATACAGTTTTAACTACATAACTATGTAGTTTACTTGCCCCTTACCTAATACAACTGGCTTGTAAAGAAGTTCCCTGTAATATCAAAGAAAACTGAGCTCAAAAGTGTTTATATCTGTAGGCAAAAGAGTTGAAAAAAGAAGTTCAAAAAGACAAAAATCCAGAAACAACGTACAACCATACAATAAATGAAAGTGAGCTACTAAGTTTCGTTTATAGAAGATGTGCTAAGATTTTATGTATGGACTTATATCAAGAAAACTATTATTATTTCATCATAAAAAAAAAAAAAATACTAATATTATTATTTGAGAAATGCAGGCCTCATGTATAGGGATGGAGCAACAAGCTAACAGCTTTAGCCATCGGATCAAGATGTTATATTATTCCATAAAATGTTGAGGCCTTCAGGCACTCCAGAGAAGGTTTTCACCTCAAAACAAAGTCTACCCTGTTCCCCAGCCTCATAGTTTTCCTAAATGTACAATTCTGAAGAAAATTGGAAAGGCAAAGCATATATAAATGAAAATTAAGCAAAAGACTATATCTTAATTTTCTCAATTTCCCAAAAAAAAAAAAAAAAAAAAAAAAAAGAGGTCCAGTACCTTCCTTGGCACTGTGAGCAACAATGCAAAAGAGGTCATAAAATAGATAGAAGAAATATAAAGGGGTCCAGAATTCTCCACAAGTATAAGCTAATATGGACATCATTTTTAGCATAAGGTTGACAGGAAATTCACATATCACTTGTCAACCAATGAAAGATGAAAATATTTACAATTTCGCTGTGCTTGCTTCTGCAAAAGATACATCACACATGGGTTTTTCTTTAGGCCTAGATGACCTGCCTTCTATCCGACCGGATAAGGATTAGTTTCGAGGTGCACACAAGCTGACCCAGGCACACCCAAATTGCCAAATCAAAATAAATAAATAAAAGCACATCGATCCTATGAAGTTTTTCTTAAAGTTAATAAACACTAGATTAAAAATAGTTTCCTACAATCAGATTTTGATAATTAATAACTGATTCAGCCCAAAAAAAAAAAAAAAAAAAAAAAAAAAACGAATCTTGAAAAACCAAACACTTGAATTTTTCAACTTGAATCGACAGACGCTTTGGATGAGGTAAAAAAACTTACAGGCAAATGCAACATCGGAATTCCTCAGGAAATTCCTCAACTTCAAGCTCAGAATCGTCTTCCTCTTGGCTTCTGATCAGGGATTTGCCCTTGTTATCGTCGACATTATTGATTCCCGTTTCCATGTCTCGAAGAAGAGGGGAAGAGAAGAGATGGAGGCTGAAATGGAAGCAGAATCGAGTTTAACCACTTGCCCACACTTTGTTTTATTAACATAACAAACCTTTTAAAGTTTTAAAGCACGAAATGCCCTACCTCTAACGCCACGCTGTATCCAGCTTTTTGTTTCTGTTTGTAGGAGGAGAAAAGTAAAAATTAATATGTATTAATATTTTTATTGAGAAAATATGTAAATATAAAGATAAAATATTTTTATTTTTATTATTTAAAAATATAAATTTTATTAATTTTTAAATAAAATAATAAATTTTTAATTTTTTTATTTAAAAATATTGATTTTGTATTTTTTAATTTAGGAATTAATTTGATAGTAATCATAACATGATAAATAATTTTCTTAATTATTTAATTAATTTTTAAATAAAAAATTACAAAACTGATAATTTTTTTTTAATCTTAATTATATAATGAGAGACAATCATCTCTCATCCCTTATCACACTTCACTCGCATATCATGCAAATTGAACTCAGATCCTTTGTCTCACTCTATCTGCGTATCATACGAGTTGAATTTTGATCTTTTACTTCCAACAAAAAAAAATAACCACTGAGTTATTTTGATAGTTGATACAAAACTGATAGTTTTAAATACAAAAGATAAAAATTTATTGTTTTATTTTAAAATATGTAAAGTTCATATTTTTAGATAAAAAAACAAAATTTATATCCTTATATACATATTTTCTCTTAAAATATATTATAAAATTATTTAAATATCTTTAATAAATTTTCTTTATACATTAGAAACCTTTTAATTTTTTATTATTGTTTTTAACCATGTAATTACGATTTTTCTCAATCCTTTGTAGGAGAAAGAACACTCTTAATAAATCTTATATTGTAAAAGTATTAAATACCTTCATAGACGAATTGAAGAAAACATTTTTGAATTTTTGTTCAAAGATTAAAGTTTTTAAATCAATGAATAATTAATAAAATGAAACTAAAGTATCTGATAAGATGAATGAATAATATTTCCAAACATTCCACATTCATCAGTTGTTGGAAACAGCTGAGAGGAACCCAAACTTAAGATAAACTTGGGACATATTGAGTTTAGCTTTCAAAGTGTTTTGAGTTTTTTTAAATTATTCATATTTTATAAGTTTAAATTTTTTTCTTAAAAATTTATATTTTTTAATTTTTTTTAACGTTAAAAAGGCCTTAAACAATAAATTTTAAAAAATTTCAAATTTTTATTTTTTAAAAACTTTTTTTTACTCACTTTTTACACTTTCAAAAAACAATTTTAAAATTTTTCCTTCAATAAAAATTTAAACTTATGAAACATGAATAATATATATATATAAAAAAAAAAAAAAAAAAAACTCAAATACTTATAAGTTTTACCAATCATACTCTTATTATTTGATTAGAAAGACCTTTATGCATCCACCAGCTAAATCAATATGTATATAAAATGTTGAAACAGTGAAATTTTCCAACCGCGTATCCTGTATTACTAAATCATAATCACACACAAGCCAGAACAAAACAAGAACATCGTTATATATTTTGGATAAATATAGTTAGCAATCAACAATCGACACAGGACAATGACATCAAGCTTATTAATGCAATACAAAACAATATCAAATCAGATTAAATAAGGTTTGTGGGGATTCCATTTTTGAAATCTCCTGGTATTGATAATTTAAGACGAATAAGAGTTGCTACTGGAAGATTGTCTGCTCAAGGAGCAGAGAAGTTATTTCCAGACCTTGAGCAGATTAGTTATTTCCAGACCTTGAGCAGATTAGTTATTTCCAGACCTTTACGGATTTGTCATGACTGGCAGAGGCTAACATTCCGGTTGCTGGTGACTGTGCCAGGGCTGATATTACACCCTCGTGGGCTGGAATCGTCATACATTTGTTCTCAACCATGTTCCATAGTTCCAAAGACTGTCAAAGATTAGTGAACATGGAAGAAAAGAAATTAGAAATAAACGACATATATCAGCAGTCAAGGCCAATAAGGGATTTGATCCAAGGGTAAAGGGATAACACAATGAAATGACATCAATTTCAAATTTAGCATTAGATATTTTAGGCAGAAAGCCATCTAGTATTAGAACGTAAAACAAAGCTGTTTCTCAAGAACAAAAAATGCAAGATCAAAAAATCACTCTATCTGGGTATGGTTCTAAGAATAAGATCATCTAAAGTGCAGGCAAGACATGAGAAAAATTATTTGGTTTTCAAGGATGTTAAAATGCAATGGAAAGATGACATCCTAGGCCTGATGGTTAGGAAACTTCACAATTTCTAGATGATCTAACTTTATTGAAAATAAGCATAAGAAAAAACAAAATGGCACCTGGTAGCCACCAATGACCAATAGTGTGGAAAAGCTTGGATGAAAAACACAACAATGGAATTTGTTTACACTGGAACTGAGTTCATGAATGCAATCTCCAGTAGCCGGTGACCACACCTTCACAGACTCTTGACTGACTGAGGCTAAATAATCCCCATTTGTGTCCCAACAAACAGAGTGGATCGCAGTAGAGTGCCCCTGGGAACCAAAATAATGCAGTCAGGACTCAGGTGAGTGACAGATGGAACAAAATTTATTACGCTGAGCACAAGAATCAAGAAGTATGTCATTTTCTCCAAGTCTTTAGAATTCAGTAACAATACTTCTACCTGCAACAAACGTGTTCTCATATTAGTCTCAACATCAAAGATGGACACAACATTTTCCGCTGCTGCAGCCAATGATTGTCCTAACCTTGGCTGGTACCTGACCTGTATGCTGCCTCCCTGAACCATTTAGTGAAAGCACTTTAACAGATAAACTTCAAACAGACAGAACCACCAAAACTCTAGAAGTACAAAGCATAAAAAGGGAATTAGAAGGCTAGCCTTAAAGATGTGGGTGCAAGAATAATGATTGATGTTCCAGAAGCGGATCTCACTGTTAGAATCACAGGAGCAGAATAACTCATTCTTCGTTGGGTGGAAATCAAGGGACATCACCTGTGCATTATGCCCTGAATATTTCCTTACACAATGATTTGGCTGCAAGGACACCAGAAATAAGTCCCCAAGTTATGTGAAACATGATTGAAACTTGAGCAGGGTAGAATTGGCAACTCTTTAACCCTATAATGCACATAAAATTTCAGGTTTTGCAACATGCAGCACATGTGTCTATCAGATAAAAGCTTAAAGCACATCAGATGATTGTTGACACCCACAATTAACAATTTCAGATGCAAGCAACCATTGTCATCCATCTAATAGGTCCCAACCCCAACAACCAAACCTACACAAGCTCGTACTCATCTTCTTCAACAAACTACAACCCAGCTTTAATTGAAATTTTATTGAAGAAATAAAATTGAGGTATATTATTAACTGGACCCTGGAAAGGAATATTAACAAATCAAAAGGCAAAATGACAATTCACTAAGAAATATTGGCAAACAAATAATTGGTATTAAAATGCTGAAGAGAGATGATTACACATTTTACAGAACTGAAAGTTAAAATGATTTCCAAACATATTATGTTGCCAGCTTGAGTTTAAACAGAGCACTGGGGAACACTGTATGAAATATTACAAAGATGGTAGCAGCTTTACCTGTGCAGCATCCCAAACACGCACAGTTGAGTCAAATGAAGATGTTGCCAGCTGAGTCGAATTCGGTCTGAAGCGGACATCAGTGATAATAAGAGTGTGCTCCTCCGGTGTGCAGTCAGTTTGAAGAGTGTCCATGTTCCAAATAACAGCCTACTGACATGAACACAACCATGCAAATCATTATATAATTTCCATCTGCTATCTAAGTAACCATAGCAGGTCTCACAAATGCATTGTTACAGATAAAGTAAAGAATTATGGGATCACATTGAAATCATTTTCACAAATAAGAGAGCATAATGACAATAATTGATAGTTTCTTCCTACATTTATAGGACCCTTTAACATGTTCAAAACAGATAATACAATATTTGCATGCTACAGCTTATCATACCTTCTTGTCATGTCCAGCGCTGGCTAATAGCTTTCCATCTGAAGAGAAATGACAGCAGGTGACTTTGCCATTGCTTTTACGAATACAACTAACTTCACTGAAACTGAATCCTGAATTTTTTTCAAGAAAACACAGCAAGTGTTAAAGTCAGTGTCATTTTGGAGAATAGCAGCAACAAAAGCATATGATCATCCATTACCTTTTGAAGTCTCAGTTGCATGCTCTGAAGGGTTTCGTTTTAATGTACCAAACAAATCTCTTCCATCTCCATCATCATGTGATAGAAAAGATTCCACATTGTCATCAAAGGATCCAACATCTCCAAACTGTTCGATGTCATCCTGTATTAAGGGATTCCAGCATAAGCAAGCACTTTAAAACCTGGAAGTGATAAATGCCAGGCCATATATATATGACAAGGATACTTGGTGCAGTTCAAAACTTGGATTCTTTAAACTAAAAAATTGTAATTAAGTATTAGTGTTTGAGTTTGATAAGTAAAGAATTAGAACTTCTTGGATGTTTAGTGTCTCAGTGCAAATACATCAAATAGATCTAAAAGTGAATTCAGGCACAAATTCACCGTGTGTGTAATATATGTTGCTGATCAAACTGACAATATAAAGCATAACTGTGTATTTGTGAACAGGTGGACCATAGTCTTAAGGGCCTTGCTTGGCAGACAAACAATACTAGGCATACTCTTTATCTCAAGATAGACACTTTTCATTAAGAACAGATAACCAGTTAGACATGGTGTGGCAAGACCAAGAAATACATGCAGAATTGCTGTAACACTAGCATGCACTCAGTATCACAGGTTTGAAATGCCTCCTTCACGGCTATAGGTTGGTTGGCTAAAAATCTCTCAAGGGTACATACCAGATGGTTTGTTGACGATGCAATACCAGCGGTTCCATCAGATCCATACGTCACGAAACATTTTGACATGCTAGCACCATGCTGCATATTCCCCAACATAGCAGCTCCATCACCTGGAGTATGAGTTGATGGGGTTGACGGTTGAGAATTAGGGGAAGGACCAACTGTGTTTCCAGTACCGGTACTGTTAGCAGGTCCAGAAGATGATGGTCCTTTCCTTTTCCGGTTATTCTATCAAAACACACGAGCAACTGTATTCACTTCCAAGCCCAAAAGTGAAAAATAAAGGAAAATTAAAAGTTGACTACATCTGAAAACACAAGTCAAACAGCTGGCACCAGCATACTAAAACAATAGACATCACAACAACCAAGAACTGAATTCCAGAGGAGAAGTATACAAAACCTGTTGCACCTGCTGTGATTGCAAAGGATCTTGTTGAGAGGAAGATTGTCTTATTGGTGGCAGGTTCATCTGCTTTAAAAAAAGGGTCAGAAAAAATCAGCACAGAAGGATTGACTGTTTTTCACCAACATGATAAACAAATGAGACCTTTTAAGATTAGAAAGAACATTGACATCTGCACCAAAAAAGAACTAGACATTCATTTGTAAACTAAAAAAAATATATAAAAATGAAAAATGGAAGGTGCATGACTGATGGCATGCATGTTACCTTTACCTTTATTCTATAGAGAAGATACAAAGCAAATGGCATGACAACATGCTAGCAGAAGCATGAACGTGCCGAAACACACACACACACAGAGATGGAAACTTTTTGATGTTATTTATAATGAACAAAAGACGTGGGCACAAATATAACCATTTAACCCAGCTTCTTTACAACCCTGTCTAAAATCTTACTTCGGCCAGCAGAACTTGTTCTGAAAGCAATTTGGCAACACACAGGAACCAAAGAGAAGCCACTCTATAAAAATGCTTGATTAGGCATTGCATTTTCAAGAGAGAGGAAGGGAATTTTGGCTGATGACTCTCCAAATGCAATATGCCTGTTCAGGCATCGCATTTTCATGTTGTCACATGTATTTAGAAGACTAACAGTTAAAACTAGTATTTTAAAAAGGTATCTTACTTTTGATGAAGTTGATTGCATTGGAGAACCTATAGATCCATCATTTGCAGTTATTTGGCCCTCTTTTGCATTTAAAGTTCCCCTAGATAATCCTGCAAACCTTTGAGGATCCATATCTCCATATATTGGTGAACTACCAAGACTTCCTTGTGTCTGGGCCTGTGCTAAGAGTTGCTGTTGCTGTTGCTGTGGTAACAGTTGAAACTGATTTGCATTCTGTAAGAAAGGCTTTTGAACTTGTGGGCCTAAAGTTGGCCGACTTTGATCAATGCCCTATATAATTTTGTGAAAGGCAGTTAAAAATAATCAATCACTTCACATATTCTCAATGAATACAAAGGAAAATTCATTTCAGAACTTACTGTCAATGGCCACCCCTTCAATGGAATATTACCAACTCCTGGGTTCAAACCTGGAGTAAGAGAGGAACGATTGATGTAAGTGCATTTAAAAATAAAAGCAAGGGCTGAATTAATGCACAGCCAGAATGGCTTAAATAAGGAGCTTTCATTCATAAGTTAAGCTGACTGGATTTAAAATAATATTTCCTTTAGGAATAGATACTTCGAAGAAGTAAGAACCAAATTAGAAGCTCACCTGACTCTCTCTATGGCTACTGAAGCACTAAGTATATGGTAGATTGTCAGCATTTATCAAACCCACCTGGTTTTCTATTGCATTTCCCAGATCATTTTGTAAAAGTTTACAGAAGTACACACATTGAATATGCAAGAAAAAAGGTTCGCTTTTCTAAGAAATGAAAAATAGAGGTTTTTCATGAAGTAGTGGCAGTGGAAAATCAGAAATCAATGCATCCCATGACAAAAGATACTTGAACATGTTGACGCCAACCTGAACTATGGAAATGAACTAAGAGGCCGTTTGGTGGAGCTTAAAAAGCACTTGCTTCAAAAGCACTATTCTCTGTCACAAGTTTGAAATTTGGTTGGAGGGAAACACTTAAAATTAGCTTTTTAAGTGGGCTTTAAGCAAGTTTTGAAAAAGCTTGGATGTGTAGCTTTTTCAAAACTTGCTTAAAGTTAAAACCCACTTTAAAAGACAATTTTTGAATTTCCCTCTAACAAAATTTCAAACTTATGAGACATAAATAGTGCTTTTAAAGCACATGCTTTTTAAGCTCCACCAAATAGCCTCCAAGAGTAATTAAGCAGGATTTATAACTACAAATTAATATGTCGCAATGATGATAATAATATGCAACAGAAATGGAGAATAACAATTGCACATATTATAAATAAGGTTCTAGAAAGAAATTTGTGGTTGTTCACAAATATATATGAATAAGAGAGCAGTGCTAGGGGCACTCGCTTTTTGCACTCTCCGGCCAGCACTTCCCCTTTCATTGGGCCACGTAAGCTTCTTTAAAGCTTTCAGGCGCAACCTCTCGACAACCAAAATAATGTGGCCCAATAAAAGAGAAAGTGTTGGCCGGAGAGTGCAGGAGGCGAGTGCCCCTAGCATTGCTCATGAATAAGATGACATGATTAGGTTTGTGGTAGCCTCAACAGAGTTTACCCTGCAAAATAACAGTATTGGGTTCTCAGGTGATAAGTGATAGTATCCAAAAAGAAAAAGTGACCATATATGGTAGGTCTTCAATTTAGGCTTCAGTTGCATGGTTAACTAAGCTGTAATTTGTTTCATCATAAGTTCCTATTCTCTACCTCGAGATTAGGTGGAGTACCTGTATTACCAATTCCCGGTTTTGACTGCATGATTCCTTGGCCATAAATTGATGAAGGATCCATAGGCATAGATCTTTGGGCGGCACCCATGTTTACCTCAGGTTTGATATCCTACAAAAGAAGAAGAATTAATTGTTCAACCAAATTGAAAGAGCAAATCAGAAAGGGTAAAAAGGTTTTGCAGGGAAATTTTATCCAAGTAGAGCTATAGTGGTTTATAGAGTTCATGCCTGCATTTGCTGCAATGCTGCAGTTACACTCCCATGATTTCCCTGAACCAACTGACTGTTTGTGGCATGAAGAAGAGAGATGGAGAGAGTCATCCATCCACCAGAAAAGGAAAAAAGATAAACAAAGCATTCCACTAAAAGTTACAAGTACACATACCCAGGATGATTGGGTGCTGATTTTAGAAGGGCCATTCGAGCATCAAGAAGTGGCTGTGTCGTATCTGAATTCATAGCATTTGGGTGTTTCATGCGTTCCTCATACATTTTGGCAGCCAACGCACTGGCATTGGACTGTCCAAGCATTCCTTCAGAACCAATAGCATTCACAGGACCACCAAGAGAAGGATGATTAGAATCTCGCCGCTGCATTTGAGCCTGACGCACCAAATGCAACTGCTGCATCTGGAGTTGCTGTTGCTGTTGCTCTTTCACTTTGATTTGTTGTGCCTGTACATCGATATCTCAGGGATTGTAAATAATCAGCAATTGCATAACAAATTGACAGCAACAATTAAACTTCCAAATTTCTAACCACCCACCTCTATGTATGCTGCAGCAGACTCAGAGTGTTTGTCATTTGTCCTAGATATAAATATGTCCCAAAAGACAGACCACCACTCAAAAAGGAAACCACCAGGAGCATCAATTGCTGCATAAATGAGAACATTCTCAGACAAACCACTCATTCAACCAAAACATCGTTATCTAAGAGTTCACTAAATTGACTTCAGGCTCGCTAAGCAATGAGCACTAAAATTCACAATGATTGACCTTCCAAGTAAATTAAGTCCAATATCATGATTCAAACTAAAATCATGAAAACTAAACAAATGGTCTATAGTGCATTAACTTGCCTATACTTCTACTTTTCATCTCAAAGCAAAAGTCTCATCATAAAGCCATTAATTCCAAAAGAAAATGTAAAGAGGAATGAGGCATTGTTTGCATAAGCTATAAACTTTACCAACTGGATCCGGGGCAACTTTCCCTTCTGTCATAAAGGACTTTGCAGTGTTATGCAACTTTTTCTTCACCAGATAATCATATATGTACACATCAAGCCTACCAACAAAAATGAAAAGATCAATAAAAACCTAAAGTTATGATAAAACCACTAGAATCAACAAAACAAACAGTAAATAATAATAATAATCAGTAAACAGCATTAGATTACATCTTATCTGCTTCCCAATTGCTCTGCGCCATCTTTTCAACTCCAAAAAATATAACCAATCAACTGCTCAGAACACAATTTCGCCATAAAATAAATAAATAAATAAAATTCAGTTCAAAATAGAAATAATTCAACAAGATTAACAAAGAATACATTTTATTTGCAACTACATTGACGAGAACGAACCTTAAAGTGAATAGTTCGGATGGATCAAAGCCTGCATTCCATTCTTGAGCTCCGCAAAGCTGCGATCGTTATTGATCTAGCATTGTATATTCATTCGAAAAGAAAATCGAGTAAAATCCAATCAAAATTCATAAAAATTCCCGGAAAAAAAATTTAAAATTCAAGAATTAAACTAGTTGAGAAAGCGAAATCTGAATTAGAAATTACTTATTGAGAAAACGGAGTGAAAAATTAGGGTTTCAGAGGAAGATTGAATTGTGGGTAGTTTGGAGTCAGGTAGTATTAACGCAGAGTAGAAGAATGGACAATGTGGAGGTTCGGGAATCCGAAGCTTAGGTTGGGAAAGAGAAGCTGAGCTTGGGAATCCGGAGGTGTGTTCGAGGTTTGAGCGAACAATGAGGGATCCTCTGGGGCTAAGGTTTGACGAATTTGTTGGACTGAAGTGACTGGGCCGTTTGGAGGTTTGACTGTAGGATCCGGCCCAATTGCTCTTTCGTTGGAAAATATTTTAAGGATAATCTTTTAAAATTTTTTTTAGATTTTTTAATTTATATTCTTAAGAATATATTTTATCATAAATATATATTAAAAATATAAATTTTGGCACTAAATCTAGCATTATTGGTAAGAGAATGAATTTAATTGAATA